AGACTATGAGTGTTATCGAGCCGAGTTGAGCTAACACAATAAGACACTTAAACTCAAGCTCAACTAAAAAATCAAAGCTCGAAGCTCAAAACTTGACTTAAACTCAATCGAGTTTTATTTTTCAAACTCGAGCTTGACTTGAGGTAAAACTCAAGCAAAGGTCGAGCTCACTTGGCTCGAATCATAATAAAAAATTTACGATTTCTAGATAGGAAACCCTTTGTTTTCTTTTTTTTTTTTTAAAGAAATTGGACATTGAAGGCTTTTTTCCCAATAAGCTAAAAAATTTGATAACGTGATACATACAAGCGAAGGTAAAAATTTCATCCAAGAATCTACAGTCCTACTTTTGCAGCAAGATTTGGATGAGTATTGGAGTGAGATAGTGTTAGAAGACCCCACTTTGATTTTACCAAAACCAAGAAAAGTGTGAAATCAATTGGATGAAATTGAACGGAAGTAAATGTGCCTAAAATGAATAAGACAGAGTGAATTGGATTGGGTGATTCTACGTGTTCGCACAAACACTTTTGGAAAAGGCCTTTTTATCCCTATTCTAATTTGCCATTATTTCTTTCAGAAAAAGGAATAACAAATGCTTACCTTAGGATGTCTTGGAAAACACAGACATTGGTACAAAACCTTTTGTCATGTTCATGGAATAGTGCCTTTGGGGGGGAAAAAAGTTGTGAGATTAAAAGAGAATAAGAGAGTCATAAGATTGAAAAAGATAAGGATAACAGCTCTGGAAGAAGATGAGAGTAGTGAGATTGAAAGATATAAGGCTTTTAATTTTATAGATTTATATTTTTAGGGTAAAATTGTAATTTATAATTAAAATAATAATATATATTACAATAAAAAAGCTCGATAAGCTTGTGATAAACTCGAGTTAAATATTAAAATACTTGAATTTGATTTGCTCGATAAGTCAAGCTACTCGAGCTTGACTCAACAATAATCGAGCTAAATTCGAGTTTTTTTTTAAGTCGAAACCAAATTGCTTGTAAGTATAAATGTTTCATTTACACCCTACTTCAGGCTAGCTTCTACAAAGCCACAAACATATTTAGTTGTATCATCTATTACTAACCAGTAGGATCCATTTTTGTAATACCAAAATTTATGGCTAACTGTATTTTCTCTCATGCTAACTACTTCAATGCCTGAAAACATTGGTTTTTTGAATCATGAATTGCTTTAACAAAAAAACATTTGCTTAAATTCATTTAAAAACAAAACCAAGAAACTATTAGAACTTGGAATTCATGCTAAAAGTCTACAACAGAACTTTATGTGGAGGAATGTTACTTTTCCAACTAATATTTCATTTGTTTTAGGTCCATAGATGTCTTATGTATCAAAGAAAGTGATTCCTTTATCGATGTATGCTTGATGATTGATAAGACAACAATTTTAGAGACAAGATCATTATAGATCCATGTAAGTTCCATATAGCCAAACCCTAACTTGAAAACTTACAAAATGATAAAGTTTATAATAGAAATAAGATAGAAAAATACTGTTTTGGGCACGAAAATAATTTAAATTTGATTGAAAATTAAATTTTTATTGAGTTAAAAATCTTTGTAAGAAAAATTTAACAAAAAAAAAAATAGGAATAGCTGTAAAAGTTATCAAAATTGAAAGCTTATCAGCTCATAAACCTATGCAATTACCTTTTTGACTACTCTCAGAACAAAATCTTACCTCAAATCCTTACTACTCTCATAACAAAATCTTACCTTAAATCATTGGGTTCTCAGTTTCACTCTAGGAATCTCAACTCTTTTATGCTTTTCAGCCATGTTTTCTTTTTTATTATTGAATCAATGCTTAACTCAGTGCATAGTAACTAAAAGCTATAAAAGAAAAATGAGTGTAATTGATCTTTGTAGTGTATATATACTTGAAAAAACCCTAGGTAAAAAAACAACAAAAAAAAAAAAATGACAACTTCATTTAACCAACATACAAAAAAAAACTACCCCTAAAAAAGACACAAATTATGACTTGTAAAACTATGTTCCTACAAACAACAATTCGATTTTCATCCAATATCAAAATATGCAAAGAAAAATTATTAAAAAAAAAAACACATTCATAACAACATGCAAATCTGAAAACCACAAAATCCAAACCCAAATAGCAAAATCATTCTAAAAAAATTGAAAAAAACAAAACCCACATTCAATTAAATAATAAAAATAGCCACAGATTTTACATAAAAATAGCTATAAAAAAAGGAAATAATCTCATAAGTTTCTCTTTCATGCCAAAAGCTCCATTTTCTCAAGCAATAATAAATATCTAAAAAAAAAAACCTTTGAAATTGTATTTAAAACATAGGTGTCAAAAACAAAACAACAAATGAAGACACAAATTATGTATTGCAAAACTATGTTTTTATAAACAACAATCTTAATTTCATCCAACATTACAGCATGCAAAAAGAAATTAAAAAAAAAGGAACAAATTCTCGTAAATCTCATAACCATAAAACTTAAACCCCATTTAACAATCCAATTTCATTAAACAAAATGAAAATGTGTAACAGCAAAATCATCCAAAGGAAAACCAAAAAAAAAAAAAAACAAAATTCACATCAATTAAATAATGAAAAATAGTTGTAGATTTTACCAAAAGTAGTTGAAAAAAAAAAAAGGAAAGAACTTTTTCAAGCCAAAAGCTTCACTCTCTAGCATTTTCAATAAAAACCCAAAAAAGAACCTTCAAAATTGCAGTTAAAACATAGGTGTTAAAGACAAAACAATAGAAGAAAACACTTATATCCTTTAAAAAAATTAAAAAAAAATTCTAACCAGTAAAACGCCAACTTAATCTAATGAAATAACAAAAAACTATAATACTATGTTTGGATTGAGAGAAGGGAAAGGAACGGAAAGGAAAATAAAGAAAAGTAATGGAAATAAAAAAACTTTTAATTTAAAAGAAAGGAAAGAGATGGAAACTCAATAATCTTTGGTTTTGCTTGTAATCATCACTTTTTCAATACCCCAATTGAGGGGGAAAGCTAAGGAAAGAAAAGTTAAAATTTTTTTTTATAAAAAGACTGTTATATTCATTTTTTTATTACTACTAAAAACCTAGTCAAAAAACCTAATCACATCATCTTTTATAATTTTTTCAAAGCCATTTCTTTTTTCAAATAAGTTTCATATGTCTCTTCCAATATAAATTTTTTTTTTATAATTTTTTGGTGATTTGATTTTAATGAATGATTGAATATAAATAGATATATTTTTTGAGTTTATGAGATGTAATGTTTTTATGTGATTGCATTTTATATTTAATAGCTTTTACATGAATACATTGTCAAAGTGACAGTGTGCTGAAATTTTGACAATAGCTAAAAAATTCATAAATGCATGTTTGTAAAATATTTTTATGTTTCATTTGATTAAAAATTACTGATATAGCATCAATTGTGAGGTCATACAATAACTAATATATTATGGTTCAAGAGTACTCTAAATCATAGGCAATGAAAAATTATAATTGAAAAAAATTATTATAATGAATCATTTTCTTTCTTTTTCACTCTTTATCTAAATAATTGTTATTAAAATTTTTATTTTTATCTTTTTTTTATTAATTTTAATTATCCAACCAAGGTACATATATTATTTCCTTTTCTTTAAAAATTTTTCTTTTCCTTTCCTATCTTTTCTTTTCTTTTATTAATATTTATCTAAATATTACCTAAAAAAAAAAAAAGTATACGTGTCACTCTTAGATCCCTTAGGGGATACTTTTTAGATAAAGATGTATTGATCATAGAGCTCTTTATTTAATATTTTAATAAAAAAAAAGCCAACACCGTTTTCGCATGGAAATTGTATTTGATTTGTCTTTTGAAGACATGGCTTGATGACTCAAAATTTATCCAAGACTGCTTCTTTTTTTTTTTTTTTTTGTGAAAGGTTTTAGTTTTTACTTGCTATTTCTATTATTATTATTAAATAAAAATTTAAGTAGATTGGAGGTTTTTTCAGCAAAGAATTATGATAGATTGCAAATCTCATTAAAGATTTATATTAAATTTATAAGTTATCCATTAAAAATGATTGTTAATGGTAAGAATCAAATCTAAATCTTACCAAGTAAAATGTAAAATTGTTCAAATAGCATTGGACTGATCTGCAAGTTATTTGCGTGTCAACTGCATATCTTCTTGGTATGCCCTTTGAATGTGCATTCCAAGTATGCAACCATCATGGGAGCTCACATAAAATCACTAGATTGTAAGAATGTAAATATATGATTAAATTCATAATGAAAATACCATATTCTAGAATGAGACTGACATGTGGAAATTCATGAAGAAATGGGATCTCCAACATAAATAAGGCAAACTGGCTAAAAATGTAAAACCATGAACAATTGTCCAAATGCACAGATATTACATATTCCAGAAACATTTTATAACGGTTAACATGTCTTGTTATTTCGTCTATAAAATGGTTAAATTGATGATAAATGTTAGCCACCAATTGACATCTCACTTGACAAACAAAGAGATCAAAATAAAATTTTATTTAAAATTCAAGGATTAACGATGTTATTATCTTAAATTTTTTATATTTTAAATATATTTTATAAAATATTAAATTTAAAATAATATTTTTATTGTAATATATAATTTATTAGCTAAATATAATAGAAAATGAATTTCCCAAAAATTCAAACGAGGTTCACCAAACGTTCAAACGAGGGCTTTACATTCATTTCCATGTGACAGGACTGATGTTCACTTCAGAGAGTTTCACCTGATATCAGCCATGGTCAAATAATGGAGCGATGAGATTAATAATCCAACTGCTTAGGAAAAATCAAAAGGCATTATTGAGTTCTGAAACCTAAATTTTGAGAGAGGGCATTGAGACTTACAATCTAAATACATCTAATTCGTAATCACAACAAAAACCATTTATTTCTTGCTAATTGAAACATTTGATTTGGGTTTGTTATACAATCTGTTATAGAAAGCTGTCCTCTAAAAGATTAAATCTGTTCAATAATTCCTGCAATTCATGCAGTGCAATCTTATAGTGTTCCTGAGATTGTGCTCCTTCTACAACTGGAACTGCACACTCATGCAAGTGATTTGGCCAATGAACTGGGCTATACACATCAGTGTCATTGGAGCCTTGATCAGCATGCCTGCACTTGAAATCTTTACACCACCGAGGCAGTATATATCATGAGGTTATTTCTTCCACATCATTATAATTAAGAACATTCACTGCATGCCTGCATAAATAACCTTTATAGTTGAACAAACTGCATATGCATCGGATATCCATCTGACTGGTCTCGAACAAAACCTCATAACCCCTAACGTCGTTCTCATTTCCTTCAATTTCGACTGTTTCCTTAACAATGTACGTTATTATCGGCCCATTCACACTCACTTGCCTTGTGTTGAAGCAAGAGTACATGCCCTTAACTTCAGATTGAAATTTATTAAAGATTTCTTTTGTATACACTTTAGAGAGCTGCACCTCAAAATCACATCTTGTTTTCAATTCAAAGCATGAGTTTCTTGACTGCATATTAGCTGTGGCTTCTTTCAGGTGATTCCTATGAAGAGCTAAATCATACTTATCAACAAATTCCTTGAAAGATGTATGCTTATGTACATAACCATCAAAAAATGCATTCAAGCTCTCATTTTATTGGATAGGGATCATTCCAGCAAAAAATGTATCCTTTAAGTAAACTAAACTGGAACCCACAGTTTCCTAGCTTCATACAATGTTTGGAGCCATTTGTTATCCCCAAGTCCATGCTGCTTAATTATTTCAGCCCAAGAAGTTTCAAACTTAACTATCTTCAGGGAGTTATACACAGCTTTATTCAACTGTCTTTTAGTTTCTTCAAATCCTTTCAATCCCCCCAACTTCTCTGGAACTCTCTGCATGATATACCACAAACAAAAACAATGACGAGCCTTAGGAAAAACCCTGGAGACCACAATTTGCAAGGGTTTGCACTGATCTGTAACAATAACTTGTGGTCAGTGCCCTACTATGCATTTAAGCAATGCTCTAAAGATCCGGACAAAGTACTCTACTGAATCATGTCCAAGGAAGCCACATCCCAACAATATCGATTGTCCATGATGGTTCACTCCAACGAAAGAAATCAAAGGAATTTCATATTTGTTTACCAAGCATGTTGTATCAATCACGATGGTGCCACAAAACTAAACATAAGCAGCCCTGGACCTAGCATCCGCCCAAAAGACATTCTTCAAATGACCATTTACATCAAGATCCATCGAGTAAAAGAAGTTTGGTTTAGTCAGCTTCATGCAACAGAAGCAATTATATACAGCATAAGCATCTCCCTCTTTAAGTTCCAAATGTTTAGGGTGAGCAGCTAGATGAATACCCTCTCTTTCAGAAACATTTGAGTATCCGTTAAACCCAGCATCCATGGCAGCTGTTCGATACAACTTGATAGTATGTATTTCAGTAATAGGCTCTGCTGGTGGTTGTGCCATTCTGGCTGCAAGAATCATTTTCTTATAAGACTCGTAAAAACTTTTTATCTGTGGACTTACCTGGTGATTGTGTTCAAGCTCAACTTCAACTATTCTCCACCTTTTAGAATCGACAAGCCTAATGACAACCGTTGCAGGACAACCAGTTCTTGTTTCTGGTCTTGGATTGTTGGCGTCGCTCTTTTTCTTAAAGCCTGCACTAGTACAGCTAAGTTTTGCTCTATATCGCTTCTTCTTTTTGGATCTAAACCACGAATTGCTAACTCTGATGCCAAAACCCTGTTCCTTAGCATAGATGTTGTCGAAATCATAAGCTTCATCAAAAGAATCAAACTCCAAACCAACAGTAGGTTGAGATGGTTCTTTCTCTGAATGTTTCGCACCAGATTCATCATCATCATCATGTTCCACTGCACTGCAGTCTCCCTCACCCTCACCTTCATACTCATCGATCTCATCAAATACTGGTTCACTATTAAGGCAAACTTCTTCCATCTGGAAAACAAAATGAAAGGAACATTCAAACTGCAACACCCAAGAAGGTAAAATCTCTATGAATAATGAATAAAATTAAGAAGGACAATCGTGTATTAAGCATAGTAGAAAGCAAAGGTACAATTAATCCAGTTTATTCCACCGACAATTTGTAAGAAAACAAACCCAAAGAGCAATAAAACTATCCAAAGATCAGAAACCGTATATAGTCAGAAACAACGAGGAATAAATAATGAAACATCACAACAAGCAGAAAGTCTAATTACTAATGCAATAAATACATTGATAAAAATATGATAAGAGTATTAAATAAAGCAATCCAAGAAAATCAACTATATCTAACTGTTCTGCTTGGACTAAACATGAAACAAAATAAAAAATCTAAAAACATAAGCTTAGAAACTGGACCCATCAACGAGCAATGTCAAATCAGAGAACAATCACATTTGCTTAATAAATGCTAATTTTCAGTCACACATTGGACTTATACAATGAATGCGAAAACTGCGGATTCCAGTTAAGATGGTCAACAAGGGTATGAAAAAAGAGAATTAGTGTTGCTTTCTTTTTGACCTAGGCCATAATTATAGTTATATGTCATTTCAGTTACGTGGCCCAATGTTAAACTCAATGGTCTATTTTCAAGCTAAAAGTAATAGATACATGATAAGAAAGAGCTCAAACCGAATGATAATAACTGCAATCTGTGGTATACTGCAATCAAACATAGAGTGGCAACTAGGGAGGAAAATTTTTTTAAAAAATGTAATCATACCTTCAACTTAAACTATACCTCTGTTCTTCATGTTGTTGATGCCAAAGAATTAGCCTCATCGGCTTCCATATCAAATTATAATCAAGCAAAAGATTCTGCTTACAAGACAAGCTTCTCCTTTGGCATGGTTTAAGCACTATAGTGAAGCCTACAGCATCGTTTCACCCCAAAAAGAAAATGTAACCTTAGATTCCCAGACAAGCTTCCACTATTGACACCAAGGGTACTGTAAGCAAAGAATAAAGAATTAATTTCTGTAAGAAACTTAATAACGTTGTCCATGCACCAACACCTAGGAGACCAGCATCAGACAACACTGGGGAAGAAGAAACAGAATATCCCGATCAGCATGTTGCATAATGTTCACACAATGACATGAAAAGTAGAACAGAACAGGTTATTGCAAGATTAATCCAATAAATAATTTAATAAGATTTTATGCTAAAGAACACATGAATATCTCTGTATTTCCTTCATCTCAAGTCTCAACCAAGCCATACTCCTTTATGTATTTGCCAGCTCAGGAGTTAGAAATAGCAGCAGCAACAATGGAATAGCAATACTGAAAGCTTGCCTGTTGAGGCACCGATGTCATGATGATGTAGATGCAAATGTCAATAACAATGACATGGACATTGTAGATAAAGAAAAAACCACAGGGAAGAGATTTTCAAATATAAACTTGAATTTAGCAAAATCCCTTGCTACAAAGGAAAACGAGTACGGGAAAACGAGTACGGGACAACCCCACATTCTAATTCATTTCCAGCTAAACTTTAAAGGTCCCAAACTTAAAAATCAATACGAAAATGCATTTAACTACTGCTGTATTCACAGCTATAATTGGAACAAATAATCCTTGCACCAATCTGGTTATACTATGTAAATTACAGGTAAGAAATTACCAAATATTAACCCCCATTGGTTAATAAATTGTAAAGGAAACAGCAACAAAACAAAAGAATTATAATGATCAAATACTTGATTAATGGTATTTGTTTTGACCCAAAGCAGGTATAGTGAAAAATGAGCACCAAACAGAACCTAAACTCCTTGCGCATGAATTAATCTAATTTCCGGCTGTTAATACAAGGGCTTCAGAGATTGAATTACTAATTTTAATTATAATGATAAAGAGTTATGACTTGTGAGAATCATTAATATTTTACTTTCCGTTTGGTTGCTGAGAAAATTTGAACGTCATTGTTTCATACATCGCTACTCTGTCAGTACTTACTATAAATTAAAACCATCCAAAATTTCAAGTCTAGCACTTGTAATAATCACTTGATTACTTCATTTATAAGTTCTTTACTTCTACTTCATCTATAAGTTCTTTACTTATCTCAGCAACCAAACAAAAATCCAAATCGATCGAAACCCTAAGTCAACCTGATAGAATTAAAGTAAAAAATGTCAAATTAACGCTGATAAGTTGAAATTGTAGATGATCCTACGATGAACCGTTGAGAGGGATGGGTGAGATGAGGAAGAATAGGGGGTGGTGCCGCTGGGTCACCGCTTCCGAGGTGGCGTTGGGAAGGCGAAATGTGAGTCTCACACAGGGCTTACAGAGGTTTCGTAGATCTATCGACTCAACGAGCTGACACGTGGGGAGTTTCTCTTTTTTATGCTTGCAAAGTGATGCGTGCGCTGTGCTGCCAGGGTATGATGGCGGCATCGTTCCTTTTGTATTTTTTTTAGTAGTTATAATCATGTTCTACCCTTATATAATAATTATTAAATAATTAACTAATAAATTAAATAATAAGTAAATACATATATAATAAAATTTAAACATAAAATTTTAAATTTTAGAATGCTTTTATTGTGACTAAATCAAAATCTTATTAAAAATTATGCAGTTTTTAAATAATTATAAAGTGTTTAGTAAAAATTTAAATTTTTTTTAAAAAAAATTTGGATTTGATTTTGTTTAATTCATTAAAAAGTAAATTCAAAGAGCTTTCCAACCATCTAAAATTAAAATATTAAAATTTTATGAATTAATACAAAAAAAATAAAACAAGCTCAATATTGAAAAACTTTGTTCTTTTAAAACAGCTTTCTTAAGTTAATCTATTTTTCAAAACTAATATTATCAAAATTATATTAAATCCAAAATGAATAAGTTCACTTTATAAACAACAATTAAATTTTTATTTAAGCTCAAATAAATAATATTTAAAGATAGATTTGGTTTGAGAAATATGAAAACAAAAAAATGTTTCTTTACACTTTAAAAAACATATTATTTATTTAGTACAAAAATATAAAACTTAAGAACATATACTAAATAAATTTTTTTCAAAATCTTGATCAAGCTTATTTAGTTTAATATTTTATCATTTTAAAATAAGAGTTAATTTAAGGCTAACAGAGATATTCATAGATTGGGTTGGATCATATTTGGGTCGAACTTACGCTTAGTACTAATAATTTATATACTTGTCTAGATCCGACCTGATCCGAAATATAGGACCTCAAAATTTTTCAAACTTGACTCAAATTAAAAAAAAATAAGTCCTAAACTTATCCATTAAACTTAATGTATATAATAAAAATTAAAAAATGATTAAATTAAGTTTAATGAGATTATATTCAATTCACATATACATAAAAATTAAAAATAAATTATATATATATAAATTTTATATAAAAATTATATAAAAATAAAAATTAAGTTTAATAAAATATATAATTTTTGTTTTTAATTTATATATATGTAAATTAATCATATATAATTCACGTATATCTAAAAATAAAAAATATATATGTGAATTTAGGTCGAGCTAGTCAAGTTTGGCTCGCACTTTAAATTTTTTGTCCATGATGCAACCCAATATTTAAACAGGGTTAAAAATTGTACCAATTCATATTTAATAGATTTTTTTTTTTCAAATTCTTTCAAAACTTGTGCAGATTTTCAGGTTTTCAGGTTTGGATGAATAATTCGACCTTTAAATTGATTTAATCATTAGCATTTTATTATAATGTAATGTTCTAAACAAATATCATAAATTAAAAAGAGTCAATCATATAAATGGAAGCAACCATCTTATTATTCACATTAATAAGAGATACATTGAATTTAAACATGCTTTCATAGGCATAATCCTTATAAATGCTTCACCTTTGAATAAGATAAAGCTTATTTCATTCAAAAATTAACTTGAAACCAAATTTATTGAACAAATTTATGGCACAAGATTTTTTTTTTTTTTTTTTACATAGGCGAATCCACCTTATAAATTAAGGTGTCCATCAAATTTGGAAAATAAAAAAATTTTAAAAGGAAAATTTTCATTGGATACTCTAAAATTTTTTTATAGATACCCTCAAAGATGGAAAAATAAGAAAATTTAAAATAAAATTTTCTACTAAACACCCAAAATTTTCCTATGGACACCTTTTTCATTCATAAAATTAGTAAATTTATTGACAAAATCAGTAAATCCGTTGACAAATATTTATATATATTATAAATGAACAAAAAAAAAAAAAAAGGATCCACCACTATTTCAAAAAAAAAAAAAAAACATTAGTAAGATTTAGTTTTTTTTTTTTTTTTTTAAGTAAATTCCAAATCTAAAGTCCTTTTTCCTTTTATTTTAGTTGTAGACAAATTTCTCATAGTCAAGCAAAATGAAACTTTTTCTTAAAAAGTTTGAATAAGACGTTATTTATGTCTACATGCTTGCTTTGTAGGACTGATATCAATCTACCATATTTTCTGTCGTCGATAACATTGAGTTCATAAATTAAAGAAATAAAGCTATCTTTGTTTTTCATGATGTTAAAGATCAAGTTGTTAAAATGCAGTTTATCAAATTTTTACTGAAGATGAAGAATTAAGAAAGAAGTAAAGAGCCACAGAAAAATGAGAGAGAAAGGATTTTGATATTTCTTAATTGAATACCATGATATCATTTTCCTCCAGCTATTTGTAACCTTCCACTAAAGTCCAACAGATTTCTTAGTTGCGATCCGCAAATGACGGATGCAAGCAAATTTCTCTCTGTTCCCTTCTTTAACCGTAAAAGAGAAAGAGAAACAAAAACTAAGAGGCCTCTTCTGAAATAGGCCTGTAACAAGTTCAACTCACATGGCCCATTACTTAATTACAAAAATGCAGCCCGTATCAACAGCCCCCCTATGAAAACAATCTTTTTCCTAAAGGATCAAAGCTTGGATATTTCTTCAGGAGCTCAAACAGGATCTCCCA